CCTGACTGAGCTCTTTCATTCATTCTAATATTTTGTCCAGCAAATTGCCTTGAGCTTTCCGAGTAAGACTATTCTCTCACCTGGAAAAAAAATGATAACTTTGTCCTATTTTTTCCTATGGGTTGTTACTCTTAATTCCATTTTATTCTTCTTGCACTAGAACTTACAGAGCTGCAGTGAATAAGAGATGCAATGGTGAGCATTCTGTCTTCTTGATTTTAATGGGAATATTTCTAAGGTCTGACCTTTTATTTTATTTTTATTTAAAGATTTATTTACTGAGTGAAGAGAGCGAAAAAGAATGCAGGAGGGGCAGAGGGAGAAAGAAAGTCTCAAGCAGACTCCGTGCTGAGTGTGGAGCCCAATACAGGGCTTGATCCCACCACATAAGCTGAATGCTTAACCAACTGAGCCACCCAGGTGCCCCGCTATGGTCTGGCCTTTTAGAAGGATTTTTGGTTGAAAGAAAGTCCCCTTCTTCTTAGGAAAGATGTGTTCTTCCATTGTCTGAGCCAGAGATAAACCATCGGCATAATCTTCTCTGGTAAAAACCGGTCTCTGTGATGTATTCACTTCAGCACGTCAGGAACTGTACCTTGGCTCTATTTTCCACTCCAGACTTCTTCCTGGGGTCCTGGGGTCTCATGGCCCTGGGGTCTGTGCATTCTCAAAGCCTAATTCTCACATCTGCCCCACCCTGCCTTCTCATCACCTCCCCCCTATAACCTCTGAATCTGCTCCCAGACCACCCCCCACTGATCTGCCTCCTGGTTGACCACATTCTCAGGTTCTGCTTCTCTCTGCCCCAGGGCCTTGGCTTAACCCGGGCTGGGATAGTGCTTGTCCCTGTGTCCCCACTTCATCTTTGCAGGGTCTATGTTTTCAACATCTCTCTCGGTTCCATCCTCTGCAGCTCATGGGCAAGTCCAACCCCATCCTATCTTTCTTAGATTTACTGAGATGGGGAAATACTCCTGAGAAAATGTGAGAACAGCATGATCTCAATTTTATAAAACCATTTGTGTGTGAAAGCATGGGGGGGGTCTAGAAGGAAATATACAGAAATGCTAAATAGTAGTTATTTCTGGAAGCTGGCAATATGCTCCTTGTATGAATGGCCAAATCACTTTTTGATGAGTGTATGACTTGTGGTGCCAGCAGTTTTGTCTTCCGCATGGAGTCTTCCTCAGGGAAATTCTTGATTCCCTTTCGTTTTATATTGCTTTTTTAAATCTCATCATGGCACCAATGTGTCTCGTCTGGTCCTAAAATACCTACTCAAACCAATGGTAGTAATAGCTAGAATTTATTGAGTTCTTACTATGTGCTAAGAGCTGTCCTAAGTGGTTTATGTCATTGCCTGATTAAAAGCGTACGTGCTGAGAATGCCAACCGATGCTCCGTCTACTCTTATAGCCTCAGTTAATCCTCGTGACAACTCCACGACGTTGTTATTATTACTATCATCATTCTATAGAAGAAGAAACTGAGGTTTGATGGGGGTCATTCGCTGTAGGTACGTCAAGTGCCGTGAGGCCAGGAGGGGAATTCGACCAGCTGGAAAGTTCATCCCCGGGGTCTACAGGGGTCTGCAGATGCCCAGCTTCAGGGGACTGTTTACGTGTGCAAATGTGGGACAGGGCGCCCCATTTTTTTTAAAGAGAAGCTGCCAATGAGGCTTTCATCTGACAGATCCTGAATTTTAAATTGCAGCAGCATATTGAATTTAAAAAAAAAATACAACAAAATAGGCACTAACATACTGCAGGTAAAATAAATAGATAAATAAGTAAATAAAACAGAACAAGCCAAAATGCCAAACAAAATATTCTGTGACCCAGATTTGCCCTAAACATCATGTCCTTTAGAAGAACCAGTCTGGACGATGTCCTCTGACACCCTGTAAGGCCCAGACACCTCTCTGTGTCCTACCACACAGGACAGGGCTCCTTAGACCCTGGATCAGCACAATCTTCCTCAGACAGATAGCAAATATTTTTGGCTTTGCTGTTTCTGCCACAGCGACTCAGCTCTGCCATTTTGGGTGGAAGCCGTCAGCAAGGGGGCACGGTTGTGTTTCAATACAATCTTGTTTACCGACGCAGAAATTTTAATTTCATATCATTGTGTGTTTGTCGTGAAACAATATTCTTCTTTTGCTTTTTTTTCCCCAGCCATCTAAATATGCAGAAACCATTCTTAGCCCAGGGGCTGTGCAGGAACAGGTGGTACGCTGCTTTAGACCCTGAATACTGGTGACTGTTTCTCCAGGAGCTTCCGGTGTTTGCAGCTCTAAGCTCTAGGACCCAGATGCCCTCTGCTGCCTTGGGGAAGGCCCTTGGCGCAAGCAGAGTGGGCATGTGTGTGGCTCCTCGTTCCCACGTGGTTCTGACTGGTCTGTCGTGGTGGTGTCCACATTCCATCTTCACCTGAACCTTTTCTTCCCGTGAACGCCTTTGTGGGGGTGCCCAGGTGGCTCAGTTGGTTAGTGTCTGCCTTCGGCTCAGGTCATGATCTCAGGGTTCTGGGATCGAGCCCCACATCGGGCTCCCTGCTCAGCAGGGTAGTCTGCTTCTCCTTCTCCCTCTGCCCCATCTTGTGTGCTCACGGACACGCCCTCTCTCTCAAATAAGTAAATAAAATCTTAAAAAGAAAGAAAGAAAAAGAAAACCTCTGCACTGTATGTCAAACAACTAACAATCGTTGGTCCCCCAACCACCGCCTTTGCCCTGCTCGGTAGCCCCCAATGAAAGTCATGGAAAAACCACGGTTGATGGAAAAACCAGTGGTCCCGTTCATTGCCACAGTCAAGAGCTGTGGATGGACCACAAAATTATCATATAGCCGCCTGGTGACAGACGTTGCTGGAAGAGAGTATAACTCACAATAGTGTTTAAGAACTTTGGCTTTGGAGTAGGGCAGACTTCCATCGAACCTGCCCCTTGTAGCTGTGTCCCTTCACTGAACCTCTTTCCTCACCTGTCAAAAGGAATCATAATACCAGATACCTCATAAGGCTGTTTTTTTGTTTGTTTGTTTGTTTGTTTAAAGATTTTATTTATTTATTTGACAGACAGAGATCACGAGTAGGCAGAGAGGCAGGCAGAGAGAGAGGAGGAAGCAGGCTCCCTGTCGAGCAGAAAGCCCGATGCAGGGCTCGATCCCAGGACCCTGGGATCATGACCTGAGCTGAAGGCAGAGGCTTTTAACCCACTGAGCCACCCAGGTGCCCCCATAAGGCTGTTTTGAGAGCTGAAGAGGATAAAACACGTACAGGGCTTAGGATGGCACCCGGTACGTGGTACATGGTACGGGCTCTGCGTGTGTGACTTATTCTGGTTTCTTATCCAGCTCGCTGGAAGGGAACGGGGATTATAAACTAAGAGGAGTATGTGAATGGAAGGCTAAAATCTAAACAAGAGAAAAACAAAGTTTTTTTGTTTGTTCGTTTGTTTGTTTTTCATATCAGGGAAGAAGTTATAACTTTGTGTTTTCTTCCAAGAATATCCTGGAGGCTTGCAAGTCTTCTCTCCAGGACCGCCCCCCTCCCCCCACTTGTTGGTGCTGAGTCCATTCTTTGCCTGGTGAGCGGAGAATCAGAAGCAAGAGGGTGCTTCACATATGGCATCGCATTTATTGGGAAATGCCTCTGGCTTGGAGCCTACTTATAGCAGGGGTTAAATGCATGGCACTCTTTATTATAAGATTATTATTGACATAATAATAATGGCTACCATCCACAGTGCAACAGTGAAAACCACAGGCTTTGAAGCTTGGATTCAGATATCGATTCTTCTCCTCTCCAGCTGTGACACCTCAGTCTCTTCTGTGATCTGGGTTACCTCATCATCAAATGTCAGGATCAATAGACCCTACCTCCCAGGGCAGTGGACAAGAGTAAATGAGAGAAGGGAGGTAAGGTTTCAGCTCTGCGCTTGGCCCACGGGAAGCATTAATAAGCGCTGGTTGCTATCACGGCACGCCTAGAGTTTTGCAAAAAATGCAACAATGATCTCATCTTCATACATGGCCTTGTTTAATCCTTACAGTAGCTTGGCTGAAATAGGAGGGCAGATCTGCCTGCTCTGCTGTCCACGGCGCCACCCTGCCCCTCCCCCTCCATACCCGGTTCTCAGGCGGCGACAAGAACAGCGATGCGTGATTCCGTGCTGTGTTACAGTGAGGAGTTCGGAAATTGTTGTCATTTATAAGAACTGGCAGAGCCATTAGCTGCCCCAGAGATCGGTTAATTGGTTGGTTAACAAACACCCACAAGGATTCTCAAACACCCAGAATGATTTAAGTCAAACTGATATTGAAGGAAGAAAAGGAAGCAAATGCTGGCAGTTTCCCCCAAGACAAACCTGTGCGGTCTGTGCCTCCTGGAAGGCGTGGGCCACACAGCAGAACACAGCTGGCTGTGACCAGGGGCCGGGGGCGGGGGGTGAGGGGATGGTGAGGGGACAGTCCTGTGTCAGCTAAGAGCAGGATCAGGGACAGGGGGCTTCTCCTGAACCCCTGCCCACAACTGACACCCGGGAGTCCCCCGACCTTGGTTGGAACGCAGGCTCTGCTGCAGACTGTGTGAGCGCATGCAAAATCCTCGTGCTCAGTTTCCTCATCTGTAATGGGAAATTAACACACAAATTCCATTTCCTTCTCCTTTTCTCTCTCACCCAATGGAAGGTGGGGGATGGATAAGGCAAGACAGTCCTCGTAATGAATGATTGTGTTCCATGGCTATTTGCTCTTCTCCATAGATCCCAACATCATGCAAAATCTAGGAAGCAGATTTTCTAGGAAATGAAGTCTTCTGCTGCTTTTTTTTTTTTTAATTAATTTTCCTCCACTGCCGGTCTCTCGTGTGTGCCCTAGGACAGGTGCAGATGAACCACCGTATGCACAGCCCACAACAACCAGGGAAGGTTCTCTACCGCGGAGGGTGAGGACCAGGGGCTCTGGCTCCTCCCCCCAGCTCAGGCCCACATTTGTTTCCACAGGGGCTTTCCGAGGAGTGTGCAAGAAAATCGATCACTTCCCTGAAGACGCCGACTATGAACAAGACACAGCGGAGTATCTCCTGCGTGAGTTCCCACTTCTGGGGTCTCCCCTGGAGGGGGTGCGGGCAGCCCTGCAGTCGCCCGGCTGCCTCCGAGGCTCCTCGGTACCCATCCCTGGAAATGGATCCTTCCAAAGGAGCTTCCGGGGACCTTGGCTACTAGACAGAGACTTTCAAGTGATTCTGATATCTGAGTCTCTTTAATGTCCATGAACTAGAAATACAAGGGGGAGAAGTAGGTGAGTCAAAACTAAAAGGCTCTTTTTAGTCTGCTGAGGAGAAAATCTAAGGGATTTTCTTCAACCGGAATACCAGTTTTCACCTTCCCGAGAGAGCTGAGTCGAGGTGCTAATGGGTGATGAGCTAATGGGTAAAGCACAGTCCTAAGGGGCAAGCCCTGGGAGGTTAAATGCAAACCCAAATTCATGTCTCTGCAGTCCTATTGGGGCAGGGTCAGCATCTTCCTGGGATTGTCCCCAGGCTGGTAAGCTGAATACGACATGGGACAAGGCAGAGCTTGGGAGGCAGCAGAGTGCAAGGTGGCTTAGCGTGAGGGCTCTGGGTCCTGGTTGACCTGGGCTTGTATGCCCTGTCTAACTCTCTACTGGCTGGGTTAAACCTGAGTGCACTGCTTTCTTTACCTTTCCATCTCCCAACTATCCTTCTCCAGTCAGAAATGGAGATGATAGCATCATCGATGTGACAGGCTCGTGAAAATTAAATGAGCACATGCATTACGCTCAGCCCGGGGCCCAGCGTGACGTCAGTGAAGCAATATAGGGCCAGCGCCTTTCTGTTGCAGGGGACAAGCACTAACACAGTCCAGGGGCAGATATGCACCTGCCATTGATCCAGGCCCAAAGAAACGTGGACATTTCATGTAATCTAAATGTAACTTCTTCAACAAGAATGCGTGTCAAGTTCACTCAAAGAGGAATTTCAAAGGCGTTGGCTAATCTATTACTAAGGAATGTTAAGTGTAAAGTTTGCCCCCTTTTTAACTGTTATTATAAATAAAAACTTTAAGAAATTGTCCTACACAAGATTATGTTTGTAACTTGTAGCTCAAGAAGAGTGGTTTTAAAATTAGAACAATTTGTGGCCGTGCTCACACCTGTTAGTCTGCAGATGAATGAGCCCTGAATCGTGTAACAATGTTAGTTATGTAGTTATTATAGCAGGGTCAATTAAGAAAGTCAGTTTTCAGCTAATTTTTGAAACCTAAACACACCATTTCTTTTTCCAGTCCCTATGCAGCTACTAGGATTTACCCAAATGCCTACTAGGATTTGTGCCAGCAGCTCAGAAAAACTTGGTATGAGGAACACAGGGCCCGCTTAGAGATGGAGCTCTGTGCTTGGACCTCCTCCGAAGAATAGATTTAAAGTCATCTCCGGTGGGGTTTTACTGAGTGCCCATCATTTCTCTTTGTTTTTCCTTCCTGCTTTAATGAAACATTGTGATGTTTGCCCCGCTGGAGGTGAAACAGAGCTGTAACTTCTATTTCACAACTCCCAGAACGGATTTTCAGTTTTTCAGCTTCAGATTTTCAGCTTCCCTAAGGTGGATTGCTTTTCCAACAACATACTTTGCTTCCTTTGGCGAAGGTGAGGTCCTCGCCCCTCCCCCAGTCCACCCCTGCTTCACCATTAGCCACAGAACCAGGCTAAGGTTCAGGGGAAGCCTCTACGAGAAGCCTGTACAAGCACACAGATGTCCTGTGAGGAATTTTGGAATCCCTGACCCCAGCACACAGAACCAGGGCACGTTCCCGCGGGGCTCTCCAGACCCCTCCAATGTGTGAGGGGCCATTCCTGCTGTGACCGCCCCGTTGTGGGACTGGGACTCGTGTACTGATTTTTCTGCTGTTTCCTTGTTCTCAAGTGCTGTTGGGACAGGTTACAGCTTCACCATAGAGCATAAGGCTCACTAGCCCACAAGACCTACGGACAAGAGACTCCCCATAATATACCCCTGACGTGGCCAGGTCCTACTCCGATGCCCGTAGTAGAATTACACTGCAACAAACGGCCCTCCCCATCCTCAAGACCACAACATACCCCCAGGTAGTTGGGGGTAAAGAAACGGTAAAGGAAGGAAGGCGGGGAGGAAGGGGGGAAGACAGTAAAACCTTTTTGTTTTGAACCCACCATGTGCCCATGGGTTTAAATGAAAGTAGAGTAGATAACCCTGACTCGGAGAAAATGGCAGAATCAAATGTCCTGAGGCAGACACCTGCAACCACGTATCTCATCTGTGGGCTAAACAGTGGGGTCTGGCCACCAGTTGGTTGCCACAGGGCTACTTCAGCCACAGTCACAAATCTCACAGCCACCCATTTCAAATCTGTGCTTTAATAACCAATGCAGTTCAATAGCGTCAAACGTCCATAATTATTTCCTTTGGACATAATCATGTTTACCAAAAAAAAATTTTTTTAAACTACCCTTTTAATCGATTGAACTTATCCCATTGAATATTCAAGCAATTCCTGTCAATACACAATGCAAATGAACACTTTAAAGGTTTGTTCACATTCAAGTTTGTTTGAAACCACTGAGGCAGATCAACCCCTATTTGTAGGGCCCTGGGCTGAGGGTCCAAATGGAAACCCATAGGTCATATGCATAAATACTGAGAAGTTATAAAGAAGCTATGCCCACAGTCGGGCTCGTGTGCCCACTTAGGACCCCAGAGCCCCCTCCCCGGGGTTATCCCCTGACCTGGGTACTAAAGGAAGCAGGGGGTCCAGCCTTTCCCAAAACTTGACCATGGAAGCAGAAGAATGGGAAGGATGCTGCTATCAGGCCCCGGGTCTGCCCAGATCCCAACACTGGGTGATTTGGGGTGGCTGTCTTTAAACAAAAGCAAGAACTTTCCATTTTCTTGTCCTTAAGAGAACATCAACCCTGTGTGCCCTCAGACTCTCCTGCCATTTCTCCATCACTCCTCCCAGGCCACCCTCTTGGCTAACTCAGCTAGCAAACTTCCAGAAAACTTTTTCCATGAGACCGAATAAAACACCAGTCATCACGTTGTAAAAACTGCCTGGCGGTTGGCACTTAAGCCCCTCTGTACAGTGGGGAACAGAAACAGCGGGAGGTGGGTTGCCACAAATACGGGGCTTGAAAGCCTTCAACTTTCATCTTTGAAATCCCCAAGGTCAAAAATGACCTCGTGACCCTTCCTGCTGCACCATCCCCCCTGCTGCACCTGCTCGTGCCCCGTGGCATTCTGGGTGGCACCAGGCGCTCAGCGGCCGAGCACCAGACACAAGCATGGTCCTCAGCTGTTCTGTCTCCCACTGCCCACTGCCACTGGTGGCTCTACCTTAGAAATATATCTTCAGTCCCACAGCTCCTCACCACCTCCAGCCTACCACCCTGGCCCCAGCCAGCTCACGTCTGGCTTCCACAGCCCTTGTGGCCCCAAGAGCTCACCCTTCCAAGAGCCCCACAGTGTTCGGCGCTCTCCTTTTACTATCTTGACATTTTTCATGATTTTGGAGAAAGGCCTTGCCTTTTCATTTTGCACTGGGTCCTGCAAATTAGGCAGTTGTTCCTACCCATCAACTCAACTGACTTGGGATCCCACGAGGCTAGGAACCCCTGTTCTTTTGTACACGAATGAACACGGAATTTGTTCAACTGGTATATTCCGGTCGGGACATAGCAGGAAATAACCTTATACCAGTTGGGTGAATACTGGGACACCCACCTTTATACTGGTTGGGGGCATTCTGAGGCCCCCCTCCCATAGAATCCCTCCCTCAGAACCTTAGGCACCCCAGGACCCAGCACAGCACAAGTGCATTTAATAGGTGCACAGTGACATCGTCGAATGAATAAATGAACTCATTTGTTCCTTCAGTGACTGAGTGGGTATTAAGGGAGGATTGCCAGAGCCAGTGCTATGCAGATGTAGGTGCGTGCGGGGAAAGGTTCTGCATTTTGGTGAACAGCATGTGATCTGTTGGGAATCTTTGGATATGGGGCTGGCACCATAATTGGCAGGGTCCAGTGCAAATGAAAACCCCAGGTTCCTCATTCAAAACACAGGCAAAAATGCTTTTTCTTTTCTTCTGTTCTCTCTCTCTTGATCGGTCATGGTGTCTTTTATTTGCTATTTCATGTCAAACTACCCCCAGGGTGGGGGGCACAGAGACACTCAATGGGGGGAATGCGTAGCTTTGCATGCCTGGGGTTTACACCTAACCCTGGTTCTTCCTTTGCCCATGCCCAGCCCCCACCAGGAATGAAAGCTATCAGTGATCCCTGGCTGGGGCAGGAGAATGGGCAGCTAAGGTCCCGTCTCAGGGGAATGGGGAGGTATAGACCTGACGGGTGGTGGGATCCCCTGTGAGTCAAGGCTCCAAGCCCCCCACCGCACGCCCCATTTCCACATCAGACTTCACTTCTAAAACATAACGCGAGGGGCACCTGTGTGGTTGACCGTCCAACTCCTGATCTCAGCTCAGGTCTTAATCTCAGGGTCGTGAGTTCAAGCCCTGTGTTGGGCTCCATGCTGAGTGTGAAGCCTACTCAATCACACACACTCCATTCAAAGATAAAATGATGAAGAACTTCAGGACGGTGACTGCAGAGCCTTACCAGCAAGCACAGGGCCCTGAGCAACCGTGCTAGTCTGACGCCCATGTTGGAAGCATGTCCTGTCCTGCTCATGTGCTATTTTCCCCCTGGGCACTGTGTGCCCCAGGTTGGGTGGAGCCTGGGGCCGGCAGGGACGCAGCTGGAACCATCCCGCCTTCTCTCCACAGGGGCTGTGAGGGCCTCCAGTGTCTTCCCCATCCTCAGCGTCACACTGCTGTTCTTTGGCGGGCTCTGCGTGGCAGCCAGCGAGTTCCACCGAAGCAGACACAATGTCATCCTCAGCGCGGGCATCTTTTTCGTCTCTGCAGGTGAGCAGCTGGCCCCAGCCCGGACATCCTCCCAGACACCCAACCCAAGCCGGGCCCATGAGGACAAAGCAGTGCTATTCGGGGTTCCGTGCAAGGAAAGGGAGAGAAAATATTCGACTTGTGTTAAGCGTGAGGAGCCAGAGACTTTCATGAGAACCAAAGGTGCTGACACGCTAGCAGGGGCATGATGGAAAGGCAAGAGGAGGTAGGGGAGAAGGGTCAGCAGAGGGAGAGAGAGGCTGCTTAGTAAGAGAGCATGTGTGACCCTGGAAAGACTCAGGTTTGAACCACAGGGGTCCACTGATACCCAGATTTTTTGACAGATCCGTACATTAGTATAAATGTATTTTCCCTTCCTTAGGATTTCCTTAATGACATTTTCATTTCTCTAGTTTACTTTCTTGTAAGAATACAGTATAGAAGACACAGGACATACAAAGTATGTGTTAATGGACTGTGTCTGGTAAGGCTTCCAGTCAACAGTAGGCAATTAGCAGTTAAGTTTTTGAAAAGTCAAAAGTTAAACACAGATTTCTGATGGGGGGGGATCAGCACCCCTAACTCCGTATTGTTCAAGAGTCAACCGTCTATGTTCACACATAGAGGGCATGTGTATGTAATGTGACTGGCTCAGCTTGGCTCAGCTTATTTTAACAGGGTCCACCTTTCTGTTCGCTGGGACATACTCATATATGGCTCTGGCTGTTTGAGACATGTCAACATTCCAAGGGCTCAGATTCTCATATTGTTCAAGACGTCTCTGGGAGCAAGGTAGAAAGCCAGCAGCCCAAAATACTCTCCAGGAAAACTTCACAATCAGTATCTCGCCTGACCAGAAGGTGGCAAGAGGGATGAGAGACAGTCAGTTCAGGAAGGGGCCCCCTGCACTGCCTTCTCTCTCCTCCCTCTTCCACCCACCCCGTGTTCTCTTCCCCCTAGATTTACCTCCTCTCCCTAACTAATAATAGTATCTACTTCATGGTGTTGTTGGAAGGAGGCTGAGCATAAGAAGCACAATATTTTTAGTTTTAGTTTTAGTTTACTTATTTATTTTTTTAGTAATCTCCACAACCAGCATGGGACTCAAACTCACAACCCCAAGATCAAGAGTTGTGTGGTCTTTCAACTGAGCCAGGTGGGGCACCTCAATATCATTTTCTAGTCCTGGAAAAGCAGCAAGAATATAGTTCCAAAGTCTGAGGCCCAGCGTCCTGCTCCCCTCTAAGACCTTGCTCCCATTTCTTCCCCCACTGTGTCCCCTTCTGGGAAATGAGGAAGCTGGACTGCATCCAGCTCCGAGTCTCTGGACACCAACTCCAGCAACAGACCAGGGAGGGAGCCGCCATCTTGCCATGGGGGTGTGGTCAGCCCAAAGGTGGCCGTGGCCCCTGACCACGCTGTGTGCAGACTGATGGTAACAACGGGCAAACCCAGGGCTTTGTGTGGTTTTGAGACACTTTCTAGTCACTGGTGGCCCATCCAGACCCCCTGGGCTCTGACCCACCTGGAGGGAAATGGATTGTCTCTTTTTTTTTTTTAATTTTATTTATTTATTTGACAGATAGAAATCACAAGTAGGCAGAGAGGCAGGCAGAGAGAGGAGGAAGCAGACTCCCCGCAGAGCAGAGAGCCTGATGCGGGGCTCGATCCCAGGACCCTGAGATCATGACCTGAGCTGAAGGCAGAGGCTTTAACCCGCTGAGCCACCCAGTCGCCCCGGGAAATGGATTGTGCTGACATTTGGGTTTCCCGTACAGAAGATCATTATTTTGTCCCCCAAGGGGATTGTCAGGAAAGAGTGTGTCACCAGCAACATTTTTTCTCACGATGGGTACTGTGAGAGATGGCAGGTGGATGGGACACTTGGGAACCGCGAAACACGCAGGGCAGTGGTGAAAGCCCTGAGGGGAGGCAAGAAGCTTGGGATCTATTCCTGGATAGCCCCCATCTCCCCAAGGAACCTGAAAAGCCTCAGCTTTTCTACCTATAAAATGGAAGTTTCAGAAGAGCCCACACTCTCTAAGGCTCTTTCTTGCTCGGCTTTTCTAAGGATTTGTGGCTAGGGGCAAGCAATCAAGAACTTTTACTGAACACCTAGTACCGGGGCAGGCACCATGCATAATGCTGAAGAGTGAGGGCTCTGAAGCCAGGCTGTGTGCTGCCAATCTTGGCTCTGCTACCTCCAAGCTGCATAACCTTGCACAAGTCTCTTAACGTCTCTATGACTCCGTTTCCCTATCTGAAAAGTGGCGGTAATAATGCCCGACCTCTTGAAGCTGTTAAGAGACTGACATGAGCTGGTATCCGTAAACTGCCTAGAACAGCACCTAACACAAGCTCACTGCTTACTACGTAGTAGCTGAGGCACGAGACGTTGCGCTGTTGAATTCTCACGCCAACACCATTCACTTTCTCGTTTTGTACATCCGCACTGCACACTCGCTCCAGTCAGACTCTCAGCAAGGACATGAGGCCATCACAATGAAGGAGACCAAGGTGGATCTGCCCTCAAAGAGCTGAGTGTCAGGGGGATTGCCCACACACCTCTCGTCTGTCCTAAAATTTGTTCCTGAAATCTAAATCCACCACGGCCAAGAGACAGTGCTGGGTTCAAATCCCACCTCTACCATTTCCTAGCACCGTCAATGTGGGAAGTGATGTACCTTCTCTAGGCTCAATTTCCCCATCTAGGAAAGGGGGTCAGGGGTGCCTGGCTAGCTCAGATGGAAGAGCGTGCGACTCTTGATGTCGGGGTCGTGAGTTCGAGTCCCACGTTGGGTGCAGAGATCACTAACAAATAAATAAACTTTAAAAGAGGGTTAATTTTTTTTTTACAGCAGGTCTGTTGCAATACTTGAGATGGTGCATATTAAGACTTTGCCCAGTGCCTCACGCATGGGAAGTCCCCTATAAGTAAATGGCAACCCCTTCGCCCCCGCCTCCTTTAACCTGGTCTCACATCTAAGTCTCTCTTTAAATTGCTCCCCCTCCTCTCACCCCATCAAGACTTCCTTTGGGGGCTTCCCAAACTTTGCCACCAAAATTTCCCTGCTAGCAGAGAAGAAAAAAAAATGGCTCTGGGGAGTGGAGAGTAGGGTAGCAGGGCATCGCTAGAAGCAGCCTTCAGTGAGCTGAAATGTCTTTGAAGTCTGTCTCCCATTTACACTTAAAAATTCATGTGAATTCTGCTCTCTCCTCCTTATTATATCCGTGTTCATTTTAATATAAAAGAATGTGTCTTCCCTACTAATCTTCAAGCCGAGTTGACACTCCAGACAGAGGAGCAGTTTTTCATCCTGTGGTTTCCTGCAGCCTGACATACGGCTATCTGTGTCAACCCCCATATTTAGAAATAGCTCAGTGATTAGAACTCACAGCCGGCCTGCTGGATGCCTGCATAGGGTAATGCCAAGAGGACACAGGGCAGAAGCAGACCACCCCACCCTGCCCCCACCACCTTCTAGAAGCAAGTCCTAGATGGAGCAGGCCAGAGATCATAGTCAAATACTAACTCCCCCTTAATACTTGTGCCCCAATGAGTCAGAATGGCCCAGCTTTAACTCTTTAGTTGCTGGACTGTAGGGAGATCGTGAGGACCCCCCAGGAAGAGTCTGGGGCCATGAGGACCAGAGATGGAGCACAGACGGCCACTGGATATGGTTATTTACCAGCTGGTGCTAGGAACTGTAACGAGGGCCGGTCCCCATTTAGCATCACCTAAATTTGGAGACAAGGAGGTACCAGCTGATACACCAACCTCCCTGAGTCATTGTTGGCATCAAGGCCTAGATGAGGCCCTTGAAGCAAAGAGACAAAAAGAGACATTCCACCTTTGGAACAATAATGTGAGAAAGGTGGGGTGTCCAACTCTTGGTTTTGGGGCTCAGGTCATGATCGCAGGGACGTGGGATTGAGCCCCACGTCAGACTCGGTGCTCAGAGAGGACTCTGCTTGAGATTCTCTCTCTCCATCTGCTCCCCACCCCCTCATTGGCGCTCTCTAAATAAATAAATAAATAAAATCTTTAAAAAAAAAAATAACGTGAGAAAGGTGGTCAGAGATGATCCCACCCCTGGGCCCTCAGGTTCTATTGTTTCTTACCACTCCCTAGAAAATCAGTTTACCTTCAGGTGACCATATCCAGCGCCTCTCCATTGGCACCTGGGGGACGCTGTCTGCACACCTTGCCTGCTGGGGACAGCAGCTGCATGGTCCCCAATTCCCGATGCTCAAACGACAGCTAATCTAAAGCACTATCTTATCCTGTGCAGATGAAAAGACTTAGGAAGCTATTCTCCCTGCTCCTTGGGTTCACTAGCTCCCCACACTGCAGGGGCAGACCCATCTATGTCCACCAGACAGCTGCATTTGGACCCTCCTTAAGCACGTCCGACCAACATGTTCACATGTCCCCTCTTCTCAAAACCTGTTCTCTCTGCTGCCTCTTATTTTAGCTCAAGATGCCACCAACCTCCTTGTCAGCCCGGTGAAAACCCTAGTGGGCCATTCTCCATCTCCTTCTCTCACCCTGTGCAACCCTATGCAAGGTCCCCTTGTCTTCAAACCCCAGGGGCTTACCTGGTCCGCCTCCCTTTGCTTCTGAACTGTTTTATACGTGTCTCTGGCCGAGCCCTTCCTGTATTTTGCTCTAATTGCCTTTATGTGTCCGTCTCTCCTACTAACATGGAGGAACTCAGGAGCAGGGACCTGTATCTCCCTCCTTTTAGCGTCCTCATGATTTAGTGCCAAAGAAGGTTTTTTTGTTTTGGGGGGGGTTTTGTTGTTGTTGTTTTTTAAGATTTTACTTATTTATTTGACAGAGAGACAGTGAGAGAGGGAACATAAGCCTGGGGAGTGGGAGAGGAAGAAGCAGGCTTCCCACTGAGCAGAGAGCCCCATGTGGGGCTCAATCCCAGGACCCTGGGATCATGACCTGAGCCGAAGGCAGAGGCTTTAACCCACTGAGACACTCAGGCGCCCCAAGATTAGGTTTTGATGGAATGAATGGCTTGTAAGGGAAAACACCAGCATCCTGAGCCCGCCCACACTTGCTATCCGAATAGGGTGTATTCTGTAGCTAAACGCACACCACCTGGGACCGGGCAGCAGCATCCTCATTTCCCAAGGGACACACTGTGCAAGAAAGGCCCAGGGTTTGCATTTCCCAGCCATAAACCCATTCTCCGTGTCTCCCTGTTCCCTCCACATTTTCTACAAATCCTTCAAGGCTCAAACGACAGTTACCTCCGCCGTGTACAAAAGATGTCTTTTTCTCTTCCCCCTCTCTTAGGGTTAAGCAACATCATCGGCATCATAGTTTATATATCAGCCAATGCTGGAGACCCCGGGCAGCGTGACTCCAAAAAGAGCTACTCCTATGGCTGGTCCTTTTATTTCGGGGCCTTTTCTTTCATCATCGCAGAAATTGTGGGAGTCGTGGCTGTGCACATCTATATCGAAAAACATCAGCAGTTACGTGCCAAATCCCACTCGGAGCTCCTGAAGAAATCTACCTTTGCCCGCCTTCCACCCTACAGGTATAGATTCCGGAGGCGGTCAAGTTCCCGCTCCACGGAACCCAGATCCCGAGACCTGTCCCCCATCAGCAAAGGCTTCCACACCATCCCTTCCACTGACATCTCCATGTTCACGCTCTCCCGGGACCCCTCAAAGATCACCATGGGGACCCTCCTCAATTCCGACCGGGACCACGCTTTTCTACAGTTCCACAACTCCACGCCCAAAGAGTTCAAAGAGTCGCTGCATAACAATCCGGCCAACAGGCGCACCACGCCCGTCTGAACTTGACCTCTGCCCTCTGGCCTCCAGCCCCAGCACAGCCTGGGGGCAACGTACAGAGGCAGCTTTGAGGTTGCATGGCATGGTCCTCGTGATGGTATTACTTTTTGCAAAGAATGAAACCAAATGGACTCAGCCCTCTCCCACACTCGGCCCCTGACCCTCCAGGTTCTAACCCACCTCCCCAACCTTCCCAGCGCCCCCCCCATCTTCCCCAACTTTTCAAGCCCATCCCATGATGTCATTTCTCTCTCTGTGTATCTGTGCCAGATGTTTTCCTCTCTTCCTTCTTTACTGGAAGGACCTGCACATTCTTCCCTCCTTGGAAGAGGACTTTACTCAAAGTCACTGGTGGTGGCTGGGGGAGTTGGGGGTGGATCCCCAAGTCCCCAGGCGCGTGCAACTGTCCCCACTGCCCACTCACACAAATCCTTGGGACACCAACTGCTCAGGTGGCCCCGAGGGAGGCATTCACCTTTACGTGTTAGAAAAACATGACCAGAAATCAAGATGTCAGAGCCCCCAAAGCAGCTAATGTAATAAGCACCCATGTTATTAAAGGTTTTGCCTTGTTGTAACCAACCAAGCTGGGGGTGTTCTGTTTCTTCCGGCCCCTTCCTGCGCAGACTGGCTGCCTACCCATGGGACTGGCCCACCTCTGTGTTGGAAGCGGAGCTTTGCTCATCTAACCGCTGGGAAGATTCCCCGCCACCCTATCCCCCTCCTTGAGACCAGCAAGGTGCCCCCGCCAGTGCACAGTGGGCCTGTCCCTCACCTGAATCCCTGCAGGCCAGCTGGCGGCAAGCGTGTGTTCCAAAAAAATCTGGCCCTGGCTCCCAGGAGCTGGGACGTGTCCACCTCGCCTTCAGGCCTCGGTCCTCTCACCTGTAAAATGGAACACGGTATAGCTCCCTCCTCCACACAGCTGTGAGGCTCCCATCGAGTGCCCCGTGTGAAATGAGTAGCACATGATAAAGAATTGATATATGCAGTTTTAGTGTTTGGATGCGTTCTCAGCAGCCTGAGCATTATTGGGCTGCTGTAACCAAAAACACCACAGACAGGGGGGCGGATGCCACAGACGCTTCCTTCGCACCGTCCTGGAGGCTGGGAAGTCCAAGCTCGGGGAGGGCGTCCACAGATTTGGTTCTTGGTGAGTGTGGGTGAGGGTCCAGACTGGCTGGGGTCTGGGGGCTCTGTCCAGGGAAGAATTCTCCCCGAGGTGGAACAAAAGAGAAAAAAGGTTATCAAATACACTGCAAGGGAGCCGCAGGCAGGGCAGCAGAGAGACTGCCTGCCACGTGGTGGTGGGGAGGGGCCATAGTTATAGGGCAGAGGGAAGGAGTATGGGAGCAGATGGAGCTTTCTCTTCCTTGGAAAGCTTAGGTTGATTGTAAGTCGTCCGTTGGTCGGTGAGGGCCTGTGGCTTAATGAGCCTGTTTGCGTTCAGCGGGCTGGTCGTGGTGGGCTCTTTTCCCTGGTTCGACTTTCCATGGCTCGAGCCACTTGCTTAAAAGCAACCTCTCCATCCTGGTTTGCAGAGGGCCGCCTTCTCACACGGCCAGCAGAGCGTGGCGCTCTTGATCTGTCTCTGTCTCTGTCTCTGTCTCTCCTTCTTAGGAAGCCACTCATCTCAGCACGGGGGCCCCACCTTCATGGCCTCATGGACCCCTCATTACCTCCCAAAGGCCCCATCTGCAAATACCATCACAATGAGGGTCAGGGCTTCCACGTATGAATTCAGGGGGTAGAATACACAGTCCACAGCAAGCAATTATTGCAAGAAGACAGAAGCCAAATGGGAACAGTTCTATATGGGGAGGTGGGGGTGGGAGGGGAGCTTCTGCTGCCAACACTGACTTCCTGGAGTGCGTTTTTGGCCCACGCCCCACCTAGCTGTCCCACCTAGGGCTCCGGTTCCCCCAGAGGGCACGGGCAGGGTTCCCAAAGCTCAGGCTTACCGCGTGCTACCAGGTGTGGGGCTGAGTTCTAGCATGGTACACACCCTCCCAGTGACAGTCCCCAGTCCAGTTGCCAAGGAAGAGAGGTTACATGACCTGCCCAGACTTCACCCACACTAGGGGCCGGGAGCCCCAGGGAGCAAGGCACCTGCCTGCACCCACGAGGTCACTTTGCCCAGCATAGACTCCCACCGACTCTTTTCTTTTAACACTTAAGAGTCCTTGCATGCAACTCACACTCACATACCTCTAATGATCTCCTTGAATCCTTAAAACAGCCCTGTGTGTAGTAGGAATTACTCTCCGCATTTTGGCAAGCGAGGAAAAGCGAGCAAAGAAAGTGTCTTAGGTGCTAATGAGCAGAACTGTAATGGATGCCCCCCTTGGCTCCCGAACTTGAGTGACATCTTCATCTTCCAGCATTTTCCAGACCTGTCATCGGGGTACTACGCCGACCCCTGAGAAGTTCCTCGTTTTTCTTTAAACTAACTCGCCTTTTACTTCAATAAATGTATCTGGTCCTGAACATTCTGTCACTCCCTGAAAAGGAAAGGGGGAGTCGCGTGCCGTAAGCAAGTGGTAACCGGGAAAATAAATACAATACAAACAAAACAATCACGCCGTCTTCTAGCCACTGCCTCATCTTTCCAAAAAGGATATAACCAGAGTGTTAGGAAGATCTTCAAGATATTCTCATACCAGAGAAAACGCTTCCCTCGGCTAATCAGAAGCCTCCAAGGAGCACTGGGAAAGGCGGTGGCTTTCTCACTGTGGGATCAGGTCCCATTGTCTCATCCCCTCCCTTTGGGCTCGGAGGCTCTGGGGCTCCCTTGGAGAGGAAAGGATCTGAGAGATGGAGCACGTAGGGGACGAATCCTGTGAAATGGAACAAATGGCAACCTACAGACCTGGGAACCAGGACTTTGTCAAAAACAGGGCATCTGGGGGCGCCTGGGTGGCTCAGTTGGTTAAGTGTCTGCCTTTGGCTCAGGTCCTGATCCCGGGGTCCTGGGATTGAGCCCCACCTTGGGCTCCCTGCTCAGTGGGGAGCCTGCCTTTCCCTCTCCCTCTGCCTGATGCTCCCCCTGCTTGTGCTTGCACGCTCTCTCTCTCTGTCAAATAAGTAAATAAAATCTTAAAACAAAAACAAAAACAAATAAACAAACAGAAAAAACCGGGGCATCTGGGGAAGCTGATGGGGATGGAGAGAAAGGTCCCAGGGACTTCAGTAGGCAGACGTCTGCTCTGTGTACAGTACAAAAGGCCAGATAGCAGGAGGACAGAAGTAGGCACCTGACTGCTGCCTACCCCTCCCATGTCCCGCACCATCTAGGTCTGCTCCCTGCAATGCTTGGGCACGTGCAGCCTCAGAGAGCTTTTGCTTGAAGACTGCTCTGCTGGACCTAGCTGGCTGGCACCAAATAAATATTATTACCACTCACAGTTTGCAGCCAGGATCCCAGCCAACCCTTGTCATTCAAATCCCTGTAAAGAGTACGCTTGGTCACTGGGCCCCCACCCTGCATGCTGTGAACTTCACTTATTTTGTCTCATTTAATCCTCACCTTTGAGGGTTTATCGTTAAACCCCCTGGATAGATGTTGAAACTTGCCAAGAGACAGCAAAGCCGGTACTGAGTACTCCCCGTCTACCCTGCTCCAAAGCATACGAAAGAGCCACTCCCTAAGTTGTGCTGGTCACACTTCTCAAATGTCTTGCCCCCATTACTGAGATCCCCATCTTCTTCCCCAGGTACAGCTCTGTTTACCAAGGAATATAAACGGGGGACTCTAATTCTGATGGAGGCTCAAGAAAGAGGCAGTAGCATTTATAATCAGACCTAAAGGAAGAGTTAGAGTTAGCCAAGTAAAAAGAGGGCCACGTGCAGAGGACAAGAGTAGCATATGCAAAGGCCCTGAGGCTGCAGAGACCACCCCCGCCCCCCCGCCCCAGCAAAAGCCAGCAAATCTGGAGCTCAGAGTGAGAGGGAAAGTAATACCAGGTGAATCTTAAGGGAAAGCTGGACCTAGAGGTTGTAGATTGCAAGCATGTTAGGGATTTTGAACTTGAACCCTAAGTACACAAGATACAATCTAATATGTACTTTCAGAAGGCTAATGTTGGGCGTCCAGTGAAATACCAGCTTCCTAAATCTTACCTTTAGAAATACTTCTCTAAGAGCTTACATCATTGCCTGGTTTGTCCACACTCTCTAATATGTGGACGTGACCATGAATTGGACGTGAACTTACCCTGGAGCACAGCTGGCCAGTTCACAGACTACACCTGATTTGTGGTTAGCCAATCTTTTTTTTTTTTCCTTAAAGATGTATTTATTTACTTTAGAGGAGGGGAGGGGCAGAGGAGAGAGAATCTCAAGCAGACACCCCACTGAGTGTGGAGCCCAATGCAGGGGCTCAATCTCACGACCCTGCAATCATGACCTGAGCAGAAACTAAGAGTTGGGTGCTTAACCCACTGAGTCACCCAGGTGCTCCATGCAGCTAGCCAATCTATTCATAGGGTGCCCAGTGGCCTGGGCTTTGCAACTTGACTTTAAAAGATAAACTGAGCCAATCAGGTGGTCCCTGCTGGGAATTCTGAGAGACACAGAAAGCAGCTGCTAGTAGACCAGAGGGAGCAGAACAGAAAAGGTATAAGGAAGCCTTGGGACCAGGGCAGCAACAAACAATGGGCTAAATGCTAGTAAAAAGAAGACAACCCTGTAAAGGCTTCCCACTGTATGTAAATAAAATCCAAACTTTTGCCATGGTCTCCAGGGTCTTGCATTATTGAGACCATGCTAATCTGTCCAACTTTATTCTTCACTTTTCACCTTGCTGCCTACCCTACAGTCATGTGTCCTCTCTTTTCAGTTCCTAGATCCAGCCAAACATATTTCTGCCTCAGGGCCTTTGCACCTGCTGTTCTCATTGCTTGAAATCTCTTCTAGCTTTTTAAATGGCTGGCCCTTTCTCACCTCTCAGGTCTAAGCTGACAAGTCACCTCTTCCTTCACCAGTTCTCAACAGGAGATTAGCTATTTTTCTTTGGAATAGTCCATACTTATTCCCTTGATAGTTCAAAAGTCTGTAATATTTGGTGTATATTTGTTTGCTGACTAGAAGGTAAGTTTCACGAGAGGCGCATACCTAACTGTCTCGTTCTTCACTGTTGTCCTCCTTGTCAAGTGTGGAGCTTATTCATCTGGTGAACGTTCCACCATGTGAAGGAAGCAAGCAAAGGATGTGAATGCATTGAGAACTGTTTAAAAGAGCGGTGCCTGGATGGTTCAGTTGTTAAGAATCTGCCTCAGCTCAGGTCATGGTCCCAGAGATCTGGGACTGAGCCCCACATCGGGCTCCATGCTTCGTGGGAAGCCTGCTTTTCCCCCTCCCACTTACCCTGCTTGTGTTCCCTCTCTTGCTATCTCTCTTTGTGTCAAATAAATAAATAAAATCCTTTCTTTTTTAATGTTTAAAGAAAAGCCATCATATCACAAGGAGAACATGGATTCTTTGGTTTCTGAGAACTTCCTGTCCCATTTCCTCTGGGACACTTTTTTCTGCATTGCTTCAACAATCTCCCCTTTTCCTTGAGCAAGCCCAAGTGCGTG